TGCAGATTTCTCTGCTCAGTGTATTCTTTGACAGAGTTTTGTTGGAAGCCATGGGAGAAGATATCCTCAGTAAAGTGAGGAGAGAGAATGCATCCCTGACCTGTGGCTAGCAAGGATCTGAAAAGCCCTCAGCTACTTTTACCCCTGCTGCAAGGGAAATGCAAGCAATTATGGTCCCAGCCAATGCAGTTTGGGTCTCAACTTGGACTTCATCCTTGCAGGCTGCAAGTTTGTGATTCCTGCAACAGATGCTCTCATATCTGTATCTAATCTTGCTAGGTGGACACCAGTGTGTCAGACTTTTGTGTGGCAACTGCGCTTTAGCAGTTAAATAATTATCCTGTTAGCCTTTGCATTCTAAGAATTAATCTGTATTTGTGTTTTCTAAAAGCTTCTAAAACTTAACTTCAAGTGGACATCTAAGTGTTTCTTGCCTTTTTCTCCCTACTGGAGAGAACAGCATTGCACATTGCATTTTAAAACTGCAAAAACTGTATGACCCCTTGCAATTAAGCTTTCTGATTCATGAGTGACTCGTCTTTGTTAGACCCGAGTAGACTCTGTATCCCAGTGTGTGACTGTGCAAAATAAGAATTCCTTGTTAAAGAAAACTTTGTGTCAGTAATCACCTCTGAAATGCTATAGTCATTGGAGCGTTTACATGGCATAATTTAAATTTAACTGTAACCAAAATGTGGCTTGTACTTAGCCATGTCAGTGTATTCGGCAGGAAGTGGTAGCACATGTCACCAGGCTTGCTCTCCTAATGTTCGCAGCTCACCACTTCCTGTTACTGAAGTGAAAGAACAAAAGAAACACCAGTTTCTAGTTCATTTTAGCCTCTAAAAAGTTGCAGTTGTATTTGTTAAACTTCTTAGTATCATAACAGAGGTATTTATGGCCTTCCCCTTTATATTCTTCTTTTAACTTTGAAATTCAGCTTCTTATTGGAGAATTTTGGTGAAGTTCCTACTAGAAATCTTAAGTTCTGAGAAGATTTTTGGGGCGGGGGGGGTGTGTGTTTGTGCAGATCCTGAGTTTTAGAAGTGATCCAAGGAATAGTATAAATCATTCTAGTGCTGTGAGGGAAAAGACTAACCACAAGAAACCAGTCTCTGCGAGGCATGGATTGGTTTGGTGCACATAGATACCCGGCTGCAGCATAAGCTTGCTTTCTCAGAAAACCATCCCTGCAGGAGTCTTTCATTGTTTATGCTGATATGCCTTAGCTTCAGTAGTTGACAGTACATGCAGAATTCTCTTTAAACCACAGTAGTCTCTGAACCTAGTTTACCTGATAGTTGTTATACTTAATTCTAAGACTTAAGGCCTAGACACAAAGGAGCTTTCAAAACTGGTTTAATTTGCTGTTGTCCCTGATACAATACCCTTTCCAGAAAAATCTGTGTTTGTGCTTTATAACCTTTGAGGCCAAAAGAAAACCTGTTTGGAGCAAGTGTCCTTTATTTTCAGATCTGACTACAATTGCCTGTGATTTCAGCAGGTGTTGCACCTAATTAGGAGAAAAACCTTTACAATAAGGGAGACACAAAAATCTATTAAATGTAAAATGGAAACGCTCACCAAACTGCTGTTACATATAATAATGATTTCAAGTCATTTCTAGAAGAATGCAAATTAATGGAAGTATATTTTTGCCTGTAAATCTACTAGTGAATGTTGCGAAATTGCAATTGTAGCAGTAGTCATAGCATTTTAAATTAATGCAATTAATTTCATATTCTGTTAAAAGTGCTGATGTGATATTTCTGCTCATAATTTGTATTCTAACTAATGGGCTAAACTACATATCCTTAGCACATCAAGATTAAGTGGCTGAAACTTGGTATTTTCAGTATATTAAAATATTAATATCACATGTGAGAAAAATGAAAGTCAAATAGTTAATGAATGTCTATATTTCATATTCAGATGCTACTGTAATATATTAAAAATTCCCATAGCTTCCTGTTTAAGTGATGGATGAATTGTGAAAGCTAGAATCAGCATTTTCCCAATTGAGATACTCTTGATAATTGTCACTTAATTCACATCTGAAGAAAGAAGAAATTAATTAAATAAAATAACTT